TCCTGGCCGTCTATCTGGCTGCCATCCTGGGCAACGGCCTCATCATCACAGCCATAGACTGTGACCACCACCTGTCTACACACCCATGTACTTCTTCCCCCTCAACTTCTTCCTCCTCAGCATGGGCTACATCTTCACTACTGTCCCCAAAGCCATGGCCAATTCCCTGTGGGACACCAGGGACATCTCCTACTCAGGTTGTGCTGTCCAGGTCTTTCTATTTGCCTTTTTTGATGTCAGCAGAGTTTTCTCTTCTCACCATCATGTCCTATGACAGCTACGTCACCATCTGCAGATCCCTGCAGTACGGGACCCTCCTGGGCAGCAGAGCGTGTGTTCACATGGCAGCAGCTGCCTGGGGCAGTGAGTTTCTCAATTCTCTCCTGCACACGGCCAATAAATTTTCACTATCCTTCTGCCAAGGCAATGCTATGTAACAGTTCTTCTGTGAAATCCCCCAGATCCTCAAGCTCTCCTGCTCAGATGCCTACCTCAGAGAGGCTTAGAGCGTTGCGGTTAGTCTCTTAGTGGCATTTGGCTGGTTTACTTTCCTTGTGGTGTCGTATATGCAGATGTTCAGGGCCGTGCTGAGGATCCCCTCTGAGCAGGGACAGCACAAAGCCTTTTCCATGTGCCTCCCTCACCTGACGGTGGTCTCCCTGTTTATAACAACAGATGTGCTGTTATTTCACCGCAATAAAGGACCCGGCAGTAACTGGTTTATCTGAGCTCCTTCCTCTGAGACCATTGTGAAGCTGAAGGCAAAGTGCCTGGGTGCAGAGGTAGAGGGAAGAAGAGCCCAGCACAGCAGCACTGCCAAGGAGCATCAGTCTTGTTCTTTCCAGAGTTATTCACTCTCCTTCTGAGCCCTGTGTTGGTGTGAGGTTTGAGTGCTCTGGCGGCTCAGTCACAGTCTCCTTATAGCCAGATTGGAGATACCTGGGCTAAAGAAGTAGACAGTGAGATTGACAGAAGGATGACTGCGGGAGATGAGTGAGGACACCTGACACGATCAATGTGATCAAACAAGTGAACCTTTATTTGCATACACTCAGCGTGCTTTATAGCTTTCTAAACAAGACTTGGCAATCTATGATTGGTTACAATACAAACAATAGCCCACCCCTGAGTATGATTGGTTGCATCCTGGAAGCAACGTCATCATGGTGTCGAATTCCCTTTCTGCATCCAGGAACGTGCTCCCAGGAAAGGCTGGATTGTTCACATGTCTCAGGTATCCTTCCACAGAT